TTAAAATGAGACAAATCTGCTATTATTTTAATCTCCAATCTGTTATTTATCAGTTTAGATAGTTTTTTTAATGCTTCAATAACTAGCAGAAGACTTTTAAATTCTAGTTGCGCAGATGGGGTACTCCAGCATTTTTTCCCCTCGAATATCACAAGCCCCGTGGCCTACAGCTACAGCAGCTGAAACAAGCACAAAGCTGCTTACGCTTGCAACAGATGCCCTCACATCTCAGTCTTTCCTCCCGTTACTTGTAATCCTTTTTCCTTTTCAGTGGCCTTCAGCTCCTATTGGGGAGTTCTCTGGGTTCGGGCTTTAACCCGAGCTCGGAGCCCTCCCTCTGGACAGCACGCCAAATATGCTACTAATTGCTTAATCACATTATATGTTAGTGTGAACTCGTCAAATGATGTTTTATTAACAAGGTTCGGGAGGAGCACGATCAGATAATCAATCAGTCTGGTCCAGGTGGAGCTCGTCAGCTAATCACCTAAACAAGCACATACGTGTGTATATATACAGCCAACTTACCTCAGTTCCACGAAAGTTTTCCAGCATCCCGCCTCCACCCCAACACCTCACTACTAATCTAATTTCATCCCATTCTTGGGATGGGGGGGGAGTTCTCTGAGTTCGGGCTTTAACCTGAGCTCGGAGCCCTCCATCTGGACAGCACGCCAAATATGCTACTAATTGCTTAATCACATTATATGTTAGTATGAACTCGTGAAACGAAGATTAAGGAAAACAGTCTGACACCATGGTATAATGAGCACACTCGCGCCCTAAAGAGAGCAGCCCAGAAAATTGAGTGCAGCAGGAAGAAAACAAAACTAGAGGTATTTCGTCTTGCATAGAGAGAAAGTACTTCTACTTACAGAAAAGCTCTAAAAATTGCTAGATCTGCTTACTTTTCATCTCTTTTAGAAGGAAGCTCCTGGAGGTTTTTTTTTAAATTTTTTTTAATAATTTGTATTTTTTTTTTCACATATGCATGTCATGGGGTAGTAGGTGGGGATGCCATGAAAAGAAATGGTGTAAGGGCCAAACCCTTAATCTTTTTAAAGGTGACATATTTAGTTGACATGCAAAAGTACATGTAGACTTAACAAGGACACAGTAAAATGCAACCCGGTCTCATGGCAAAAACGTACCCGGGGCCACATTTTCGCGAGACACGAAATACGTACCAATAAGTACATATCACTGCAGTTTCCAAAAGAAATGAACACTAGAGGCAGTAAAACTCTGACACCTTTTATTCCTTTTCACACACATTTACAGAGTTTCAATTAATAAAGCGTAATTTTCGCACAATTACTTGAAGAATATCATGTTATGACTTCAAAACAATTTTAATATGCTGGGAGATTTGAAAACTGATGCTTTTGAACGTTAGCACCGCACATATCCAGCTTCATATCAATGGGTTTTCATTGATGGTAGGTTTGTTCGGTAGCTCACGGAGTACGGAGACGTACTTGAGAGGCGAGGAGCTCCGGTTCGAATTCCGTGTAACTATGGTTCGCCAAAATGGTTCAAATCTGCATATAAGTAAGTTCAAATGACACGGTTGCATCAACAAATGCGTTTTTATATCAGTTTTGCATTTGTTAACACTATCGGGTAGGTTTAGGGTTGGGTTTGGTGTAGGGCATATTTCCAACATGATAGAGCATTAACTTTTAGCGACAGTCCCCGGATATTTGAATTCTGAACCGCCGCAATATGTACCTGAAGCAACGTAATAAAAACACAGCAATACGTACCTATATCAACGTAATAAAAACGTGCCAGGGTTCACGTATTGAATCCGTGTTTTAGCGCCACTCAGTGGACATTTCTCTTTGAAACTGCGGCGAAATGTGCAGTAAGGTACGTAAAAACGGTGTTGCAGAAAAGTACCCTGAGGTACGTATTTTTATGAGACTGGGTTGGTAAAATATGTATTTTATTTTATTTTGAAGTAGATACCATTAAGGTTTTTAAGGTAACAATGTCATTTTGTGGAAGAACAAATTATTCAAAGCTTTAACCAGAGGGGGGGTGCTTTTGAAAACTTTTTATAGGCGTATAAATCTCTATAGGCAGAGGTTGACCCAACTACCCGTCTTTTTAGGCAAGTACCAGATAATAGGTGGCATGTCATGAAATATTTTTAATACGATGTAAACTGTAGGCTATTTAACGTGATCATTGTATGTTAGACCTATTAATTGTAATGATTTCATTTCCACGGTTATTCAAACAATGGCCAGTCCTGGCTAAGTGTTTCATTTCTCGTCTGTGTGATTGTGGCCCAATACTGGTGGTGTTGACTCAGTTTTAGTACCCAGACTCAGGCCAGTACTGGCTAAGTGTTTCATTTCTCGTCGGTGTGATTGTGGCCCAATGCCGGTGGTGTTGGCTCAATTTCAGTACCCAGACTCGGGCCAGTACTGGCTAAGTGTTTCAATGCTTGTCATCGTGATTGTGGCCCAATGCCGGCAGTTTTGGCAGCCGGACTCGGGCCAGTGTATTTCGAATTGTAGACTCTGGCAACCGCAGCCGGGCGGAGTTATTTAATCCGGCCTGCCGGATCTGGGCCATTATCGGGCCAAACCGTTTTGGCTACCTGGGGAGACTTCTCCTGTCTGCATT